AACTGGTAGAGCTGCTGCCTCTCAGTGAGAAGGTTGCCGTTCAAATCCCAGTCTGGGGGCTTTTCTGGGTGGAGTTTGCATGTTCTCTCCGTGCATGCGTGGGTTTTCTCTGGGTATTTGGTTTCCTCCCACTGACCAAAAACATGCATGTTAGGCTAATTGGTAACTATAAATTGCCCCTATGTGTGAGTGAGAGAGTGAATGGTTGTTTGTCTCGTTTGTCTCTGTGTGGCCCTGTGATGGACTTGTGACCTGTCCAGGGTGTACCCCGCCCCTCGCACAGTGATTGCTGGACATGGGCACCGGTGACTCCCATGACCCAAAATGGAAGAAGTGGGTAAAAGATAATGGATGGATGAATTCAAATATACACATATTTGAACCCCTCATCATTTTTATTTATTTATTTATTTATTGGTTTATGAGGTTTTACTGATCCTAAATAATTAGAGGAAATCAAGAACACACACTAAACACAAGTTTTCCTCCCGGTGGCACCCTGGGATCCAGGTTTAAAATTGTATCTTAACTTGCAATAATACAGAACCATTTTCTATGTTGTTGTTTCTGCTTCCTAAACAAACTTACATGAAATATCTGGCAATTGTTTCACACCAGATGCTCTTCCTTACACAACCCGGGCTTGAACCCACAACCTCAGGATTACAAGGCCGCAACACTGACTAATGAGGTATCATAGCCCCTGAAATATATATTTTTTATGTTAAGAGGAAAATGTATCCGCAACATCATACATTCCTAATAAAAAAACACCTTTGGTCATTTTTTTTTTTTTTTCTTAAACTTAATTTCCAAGTTAACTCATGCATGAGACAGTGGAACTTTGGGTAAATGTGTTCTCACAAGTTTTACCACTGATTATATTGTTTTGATCCTATTAACAACATATCAGAACAATTAAACTCTTTCCCTTTTTTTTTGTTTGTTTGTTTGTTTGTTTCATGCAAAGATGAAAAACAACTTTGCTCCGTCTTTACCATCTCAGATGTCCTTGTGTTGGAATTTACGAGCAAGAATTGCTGTGACCTTACCTGACTGTTATTTTTAGGCAGACCTTTTGCTACCGCGTACCCAGGCTTGTGTAATGCCCAGTTTTTCTTTAGACACAAAAATGGGACTTTGTCAACACTTTTTACTTGTGATTTAAATATTGCTGTTTAAAAAAATGTAACATAAGGTGCTTCTTTTAAACATTTCCAACACTTTGAAGAACTGAATATTGTTTGTTTCTTACAAAACAATGTGTGCACATTTTTAGTTTAAAGATACGACGTCTTAAAGTGTGAGTTTATGTCTTGAAGAGGTCCAGTTGAGTCAGCTTCCTTAATGAACAGAAACTGTTGATAAAATTAGCTTTGCATGGGGAATCCCATTACAGCAACATAATAAAATCTGAACATCTTTCCTCCCACCCACATTAATGACAGATCCTACTAAATGTCTTTTATATTTATTTATAGGAATAAGCTATTGAGTTGATTCACCGCTGTTTTTATACTTCACGTCCAAGTACACAGACAGTTGTATTCTTTTACAAAAGTCTTGATTAACAGTTCTTTAGGTTTTTTTTTAATGTTTAATTCTTTTTTTAATAGTATTTATCATTTGTGTACCTGATAATTTTCAGATGAAGTTTTTATCCACTTTTAATGACTCAGTCATTTACAGTAAAGGCTTCTAATCTCAAGTGATAAACAAGTGTCAAGATCTGTATGAACTTAGTTTATAACATCATTTGTTCTGTTTTTGTTGAAACTACAAAAAGATACGTCAAATATCACACAATGTGACACATGCAGCAGTATTTTAGCACCAACAAGGTGATACTAGAAACATTACAAGGAGTAAAACATTCTAATTTTCACTTTACGCTTTATTTCTTCAAAGTAGGATATATAATTTTTCAACAATAAAAAAAAAATCACTTAAGAATGCACAGTTTATTGTTTTAATTTTTATAAATTGGGCAAAAACTATATATTTTTTTCCTTCTTTACAAGAATATTGTCTTTTATTTTGTCTTAGAGTGTAAAAATATCAATAAATGTTAAAAATCATTAGATATTTTTAGTTTTATAAAATAAATCCAACTGTTACAGAAAAGCACCCTCCAACAAACAAAGTGGTCCGTGGGCCACCAGTTGAGAATCCCAGTTGTAGCAGGTATTGTTGCTCCGGACAGGTTTAATTTAGTGAACAAAGGGGCAGGAATGGCTCTTTTGATCGTAAAGGTTGCAGACCCCTGGTCTAGAACATCTAGTAGCTAGACTTGCCACATCTTGTGTTTTTCACTTTTCCATTCCTTTATTTTTCTTAGCATAAACTACAAAATATACTGCCATGAAATACAAGAAATGGACATAACGTGAGCAAAAACGCAACTGAAGTAAAATGATAAAATAAAATAAACTATAAAAATTTGAAAGACCTTCAGGCAGCTTGAAGAATTATTGATCAGGAATATATTAAACATATTACAAGTTTGTCTTCTTGGAGGCATAATATGAAGAAATTAGATTAGATGGTGTTAAAACATTTGCACAGAAACACCCAGGTCTATTTTCTTGTTTGTGATCTGTTTCTCTCGATTCTTCTCAGTCATGTTTCAGCAATCTCGTCCTCAACTGGCCCTGAATGCTCTTTCCCTCTCTGCCATTTGTCTCGCAGCCATTCCTGGGCTGACACGTCCCCTCCCTCGTCTCTCTTTCACCATCCGATACTCCTATGTTGACATGTTCGTCCATGAGTAACTATAGCAACCAGAAACTCTGCTGACCCCATGCTTTGCCTTGCGTGACGGTACTCCTCCATTTACAGTCAGGGGGCAAACATTAGCTGACGTTTCAAGCTGAACACTCATGCACACACAGTTTTAAAGTGCACCTACTAAAATAATGCATACATTTTTATCTCCAGTCACATATGCACACGTATGAGCAGCACACAACAAAGACAAGCCTTTAATATTCCTTGAGCTTTTTGTTTATTTTATATTAAAAATAACATTCAATACAGTAACAGTTTTACAACCAAATAATATAACCTTACATATTTGCAACAATAATTACACTTGAGAACCAGAGGATTTCACGTCCTCCTTTTTAATAAGTTAAGAAATAAAATTTAAATTTTTCCCCTGGAAATAATTTTCTAAAAGCTTTTATTTTTACAATTTAGCATTGGCTATAACTGGCACACAAGAATCTTTGAAGCCAGGTCTTTAAGACTTGTAGATATTCATAGCATGTTAAAGCAGGTGTTTAGCTGTTATTCCAAATCATTTTGATCTGGCAGTAGTAAACATTGAGCATATTATTGATATTTTCCAGAATAGTTAGCTAGATTACACAGCAGAACACCTCTCTAAAAGTCAGTGTAGTATGATCAGTGTCAGCTACTCCAGTGTTAGATGATGTTAGATTCAGATATTTTTTAGGATGGCAATACAGTAATGTTTGATGTTGAGGCCTAAACTGGGATTTCAAACTCCTCTTGTGGATAACCAGTGTCTTCGTCTCCGGTATTTTAACTTGAACTACTTATTCCTCAGCCCAAAATTATGAAACAATCCAAGTTACTTGTTGAACATGATGAAAGTAGCCAATCAATGGCTACCACATGTCTATCACTCACAGCTTCAAATAGTTTCCATAAATCCTCGTTAAAGCGGTTTGTGGTCCAAACAAATGAAACAAGTAGATCCAGTGTTTAGTGTGATGAAGTTCCTCCAATCTGAAGGTGTTCACAAGATTGTACTTATTAAATCCAGAGCGAGGGCTGCTTCGTAGCATCTCTGGAGCCAGAAAGGTGACATTCAGTGAAGGTCTCTGTTGAAAACAGCCAGTCTAAAAATCCAACAGTAAGGAAACACGCCTTTCTTCTGCCCTATTTTACTTTGGAGCAGTGTGTCAGAGTCCAGGTTAGTTTGCTATACCATTTCCTGTTAGAGAAAGAAGAGAACAAAATCATTAGATTTTTTTGATGTTGTTAATACTTCATTTACTTGTATAGCTCATGCCAGATGAATTTTTTTTACCATTGTATATTTTCTATTCTACTCTTAGTTTTATTGCTTCAGGTGACATCTAACTAGGTTGAGCAGGGAGGCCAGGCTCTCCTAGGGTCGGGTTCTTCTCTAATGACACATTTTGTCTTTTATCCGAAAAACTTCTTCAGTCTGAGGACCTGCAAACAAACTTAAGCTTATGAGCAGAACCTTTGCATAACCTTTGCCATTGATAAGTGCAACTCTACTTGACACTCATCTTATTGGTTCTTCTCAGGTGTAGCTGATTTGCCACTGTGACTTGTTTCCCTGTTCAGTGGGTGGGATCATCAATGCAAATTGGGCGGTATTGTAAAAGGTCATTGTGTTCTAGCCACTCTGTCTGTTTGGGAACTTAATCGCCCTATAATCAAACTTAAATTTCTTTAGCTTATTCCAGCACTGGGGCAGCCCAGTGGCACAACTGGTAGAGCTGCTGCCTCTCAGCGAGCAGGTCCTTGGTTCGGTCCGGGGGCCTTTCTGGGTGGAGTTTGCATGTTCTCTTCGTGCATGCGTGGGTTTTCTCCGGGTACTCCGGTTTCCTCCCACAGACCAAAAACATGCATGTTAGGCTGATTGGTAACTCTAAATTGGCTCTAGGTGTGAGTGAGAGAGTGAATGGTTGTTTGTCTTATTTGTCTCTATTTGTCCCTGTGAAGGACTTGCGACCTGTCCAGGGTGTACCCCGCCCCTTGCACAGTGATTGCTGGACATGGGCACCGGCGACCCCCGTGACCCAAAATGGAAGAAGCGGGTAAAGGATAATGGATGGATGGATGGATTCCAGCACTGCTTACAAGTCCCGATGAAGCCTTGCTGCACGGTCATCTCAGATAGCTCTCTGTAAATGTGCTTGTTTCTTGTAGTGCCATTCATCAACATGAGCAGAGCGGAAATGGAGGTTCAGATGTAGTTTGCAATTTTGCTGGGAGGGTCATCCAGTGAAGTAACCCTGCCGGCCAATCAATGGCTGCTGTCTGCTTACGTCAAAAATGGCACCTCGGAGTAGTCCTCTTGGAACCTCAAACAAGGTGGTACCATAAATGGGCTGAGTGGGGGTGGGTATCAACAGTGGGCAGGCCCTTAACTGATGTGGTGTGGTGCAAAACCATTGAGAGTTGAGACAGTGGAAAAGCGCCAATAGTGAATCACCCAATTCACTGGTGACTGTCAAAACTAGTTGTTCACATGCAAAAGGAGAATCACTATCCTAATGGCCCATCGTTTGTGCCCCTATGGCTGCTTGCTATTCACAGAGGACTGAATGATATTTGCAATAATAGCATCATAAGAGGGTGACAGTTGGACACAATGAACCAACTTTTCTCTCTGTCAGAGATTTGCACATCTTCATCCCTGAAAGAGTGACTGCTGGCCTGCAGATGAGTGTAGACCACAGAGTCCTGGCCTAGCCAAAAGGATGGCCATCACAGAAGAACAACATCATCAGGGGCGTGGGATGAAGATTTGTACAACTTTGACAGAGAGGGACACTGGTTTGAGAGAGGAGTACAGGGAGCCATCTTTGTGAAGAGAACTCACTTGTCAATAAACAGGGGTGAAGTCCTCCGTGTCCAACTGTCCCCTGTCCACCTCTAATAATGCTGTTATTGTGAATATCACTCAGCCCTCTGTGAATGGCAAGCGGCCAGCAGGGTACCAACGATCAATTGTTAGGCTGATGATCCTCCTTTGGCATGTGAACAACTAGTCTTGTCTGTCACCAGCAAACAGCTTGGTCCACAATGAGAAGGTGTAGCTTATAAGACTGAGTTTGTTGCATCTGCTCAGACTGAAGAAGTCTTTTGGATAAAAAACGAAACATTTCAACAAAGAAGAATTTGTCCAGAGGACCTGACTCAACCTTGTCAGATTTATTTACCTGGATTATTGAGCATGTATCAGGAATTCAGGTGGCACCTTGTTTTCTTGTGCTATTTTGTCAGTACTTTGTTAGCTATAGAATCGGTGTAGTACAATTTGCTAAACAGAAGAAAAAAAAGTCAAAACTGAAAGATTACTCATCCTTGGCACAGAAGTGTTTGAAGGAAGTGGAAACAATTACGATATTACTAAAATGAGAGAATAACTTTAAACAAATGTCAGTTTTGTTCTGCATAGCAACACCATTAACAAAAACAGGGAAAAAATGGAGATATCGTCCCTCCTTTATCTGATTTATTTTCTCTCCAAAAGAAATGTCCTCTGTCTCACCTTCATTATCTTAGCTCTCATAGCAGCTTTACTCATGCGTTTGCGGTGTTTTCTCCTGCGGCGAGGAGGTCGGAGAGGTGTCTGATGAGCTGCCGCCGTCCTAGGAGCTATGGTAGAGATTGCTGAAAGAGACAAATGTGACATCAGTTATCTCTACTCAAACTCTTCTCAAAATGCATTTTGAACTATAAATACATTGAACTTAAGGAAACTAACATTAAAAAAAGTGTTATGCCCAAAGTCTCGGATGCTATGACGCAAACTGTAAGGAAAGCTTCACACAACAAAGTTAAGCTCAAAATTCGCTGTGCCAATATTGACATAGTTTGGCCGTTATGATATTTGCTAAGGGGCAGCACGGTGGCACAGTTTGTAGAGCTGTTGCCTCTCAACGAGAAGGTCACCAGATCAAATCCCGGCCAGGATCCTTTCTGAATGGAGTTTGTATATTCTCTCTGTGCATGCATGGGTTTTCTCCAGGTACTCCGTTTTCCTCCCACACACCAAAAGCATGCGTGTTAGGTTGATTGGTAACTCTAAATTGTCCCTAGGTGAGAGAGAGAGAGTGAATGGTTGTTTGTCTCATTTTCTCTATGCGGCCCTTTGATGGACTTGCGACCTGTCCAGGGTATACCCCGCCCATCGCACAGTGATTGCTGGACATGGGCACCGGCGACCCCCGTGAACCAAAATGGAAGAAGCGGGTAAAAGGCAATGGGTGGATGGATGTCAATAAAGAGTTTCAACTTAAAATGTGGCAAGTAACATTCTGGTATTTTCATTAGTATTCAACGGTGGCAGTAAAATAAAGACCAATTAATGAGTAGAAAAGAAAGTACAGTCTTTGCTCAAAGTCACTTTAGAAGCAAACCAAAACAAAAAACGATCTTTCGGCTGCTTCCTTCCTCAGGTGTCGCCATAGTGAACCAACTCAGACGAAGACTTGGCAATGGTTTTTATGCCGAATGCCCTTCCTGACACAACCACAGACCACTGAGCTATCACAACCCTCTGTGTGGAGCAGAGAGCTGCTATCTAGGGCACCCAGGGGAGCAGATGGTGGGGGTTAAGGGCCTTGCTCATGGGCCCAGAGTGGGGCGAACGAGGGTGGGGGCAGGTGTGGGTGCTTCACCTACCCCACCCACATTTTTTATGTTGTCGGTACCAGGGCTTGAATCGGCGATCTTCCAATCACATGTCCACCTTCTCTAACCTCTGCGCTACCACTCCCCCATTTTGTCGGCTACCTGAAAGGTACCTGCTAGTTTTACAGGCTGGGGAACAAAAACTAAAGTTACCTACAAGTTTGAGACTAATATGAAGCTCTGGCTGCACAAATCCCAACAGTTAGAGAGAGAACAGCAGGATGCTTAAAGCTGTGTCATTCAGTCATTCGTACACTGTTAGCTGCTTCCTGTCTGACATGCACTGAGATTAGTTACAAATCCACAAACTGACTTAGGTTTCAAATAACAGCATAACAGTTTGTTTTAAGTTGCCACTGGATCTCTACCGTCATTTAAAACCAGCTAATGTCACACTCGACCTCTCAGACATTTGGGCAGTACCTGTTTTATTTGGCTTTGGTCTCTGTTGATGACGGTGGTGACGTTGATGTCGATGATGGCGCTGACGATGAAGAAGAGATGTTTTTTCTGGTTCACTCTGTACCATCTCTAGAAGTTTCTGTCTTCTCTCCTCTTCTGTTAAAGAACCTTCAGAGTTCATTCTCCTCCCCTGATTGGCCAGTTCTGCCCTGGCCAAGTCGCCACTAATGTCCGACCCACTTTCCTCCCTCTCGTTCCCCTCTTGTTGACTGGCCTTTTCAGTCTCAGTCAGTTTGGTTTTAGTGACCTCAGTAAATTGTTGGTTGGTCACTGAGTCTTTTTGAATTATAGATGGAAAAGGGGTGGGGTTTCCTTCGAGTTTGGGTGGCTGGGTTAGAACGGCAGATGGAGAGGCGCTGTCAGACTGGGGAGCGTTGAGCCAGTGCTGCTCCTGGTCCTCCTCTCCTCTGTAGTTGTGCTGCTGAGGATACTGCGGTTGTTGATTATACTGATGCTGCAGGCTCTGCTGGTGCTGTAGCAGCTGCTGCTGCCTCTGTTCATGATCATGATGGTGCACTTCCTCCCCTCCAGTCTCCTCATGGCTCCTGTCGTAGCCACTCCCATGTCCTGCTTGCTGTGTGCTTCCCATCACCGCGTGTTCTGCTTTGGCTTCAGATGGCCAGCTGCTGACCGACCTGAGCGACCCAGTCTCTGTCTGGTGCACATTTGTCTGCACGTGCGTGGGGGCTTGATGCACTCTAGGCTGCGTCCAGCGCACCAACTGAGTGTAACTGCCCTGCTGCCACTGCCTCACCGTCGGCTCGTGCTCCTGCGGATGGTAATGCTGTTGGTTGTGTTTCAGATCATCGTGGCGATGCAGGTCAGCCTTGGAGGTGTGGGTCCTTGGTGAGGCAGGGTGAATGGGCCGGGGAGGGGACACAGGAACGTAGGAGGATGGAGGAGTCTTCATTGGAGGGGAAGGAAAAGGATTTGGGTTGCTCTGATTTGGAGAGCGAGGGATGGAGATGGTTGAAGAAGATGAAGATGAGGAGGACGTTTGGAACGTACATGTGACATGATCTTCCACTGAGATGATGGCTGTTTCATAGTGGGCTTTCTGGTTTATGTACTGGAGCTTTATGACCTGGAGAAAGAGGTTGAAATGCCATAAACGTTCGTTTCAGGTCATGACATAATGGTGTAATTGATTTAATATGAAATATAAGATCAAGACCTTTCTGAACATACTATAAATGTAAACATGTGAATTAAAAAGCTAACAGGCTGAAAACAAGAAATAATTATGCCAAGTGGTTGCCTGTCAAGACTTGATTCCCCTCTGAAGTTTAAAGGAAGAAAAATGTTGTGATACCTGTTCTCAAAGTACAAAAAATATATATTCCCTTCAGAGTCATTCAATATGTCTTACCAGGAATACGCTCTTGAAACAATGGCTACAACGTTCAAGCATAGAAAAGCCTTAGGCACTTTGAACACACAGTCTTTGACTGATATGCTCTGATTTTGTTTTAATAAAGATTAATATAGGACAGGGGTGTCCAATCCTGGTCCTTGAGCGCCAATTTCCTGGATCTTTTAGAAGTTTCTTTGCTCCAACACACCTGATTTGACTCAATGGGTGATTAACAGTCTTCGGCAGAACAAGGTGGTAATTTAACCATTAAATATACCGTATTATTTTATATTATTAGTGTATATCTTAGACATCCTTATTTACTGTTTCTTTTTATACTTTATATTTTTGCTATTTTGGGGTGTAAATGGGACCTTGAGTACACAATTTCGTTCCACCTCATGTACCACATGTGATGCGAATGACAATAAAGAACCTTGAACCTTGAATCAGGTATGTTGGAGCAGGTAAACAAGTAAAATGTGCAGGATAATGGACCTCGAGGATCAGACTGGACACCCTTGCACAGTATAGGATAACAATATGAATATAAAACTGCACTTATATATAAATTAATTCACAAAAACTTTACGATTTTTGAGTTTTAAGAAAATTTCATCATAGAATTGTGCATTAATAGCAAGTCATGCCAACATTTTATCTATTCCTATTTATAGTCCTTTTTAAATACCTCTGTACATTAGAACGAAAATAAATAAAGAGCATAAAACAGCAAAGTGACCTGAAAAATGTTATTTTAAAGCTTTTCATAAAGTTAACAAGGTTGAGTCAGGTCCTCTGGGAGGATTCTTCTTCTTCGGACAGAAGACCTGACACAACCTTGTTAGATTCATCTACCTTTGTAGATTATTGAGCATGCATCAAAGGTTTCAGATGCAAAATTATTTCAAAACTCTGCATGCACAGATGATAATACTTTACTATCACTATATTACTGAATTACAAAGTTAGTCCCTCTCATCACTCATAAAGAACTGAAAAATTGATGCACAGCATGCTTTTGTCCAATGATAAAGTCAGCACTCTGCACCTCTGACTGAACTAATCACCTATTAAAATGTCATTACCGGTACATTAGTACACACCAAGACTATTTCCCTGCAAGGAGGAGTAAATATTTGCTTCTCATTACTTGGCAACGGTTCATGTGAAAACGTTCAGATTCTCGCCTAAAGCAAAGAAGTAATGGATGTTTTTACACTGGTTTATGCAGAAATTGAACTATTTTATTGGTATATAATAAATATAGTGGTGACTGGATTTACTATGACAAATTGTTTTAAAATGATTCACAATAAAAATTAAGTGAGGAAATGATCTTTAGTTTCTACAAAACGGCAAAATATATTAGGTTGGCAATAAGTCTGACTAGAGAAAGTGAAAATTTGTTGTAAAGTTAAGACAATGTACAAAGGCCCAAATTTAATAAATAAATAAATAAAGACTTGTTTTAAAAAGATTTTATTTGAACTCATTCCTGTCATACGTCTCAGCAAAAAAATAAACCCTCCAGATGACCTGACTTAACATTGTTGTATTTTATAATTTGATCATTGAGCATGAACTTTGGTGTTTTGAACCATTTTGGCTATAGCTGCCTCAGAGGAGTCGACAGGGGAGAGGGGGGCCCCAGAAACCATCTTATCAATAGCAAACTGTTTTTGTTTGGGGGGGGGGGGGGTGTTTCCACTATGGGAGTGTGGTATTTGTGGGGGTCCAGTTTGTTTGTGCCTTCTCGGACTGAATAAGTCCTTTGGATGAAGGATGAAATGTCTCAGCAAAAAAAGAAACCATCCAGATGACCTGTCTGAACATTGTTGGATTTTTACCTGGATTATTGAGCATGAACTTTTGCATTCCCGTCATAGTTCAGTAAGTATGATTCAGCAGTTTATTTACCAAAATGTCAAATCAGTTGTTTTTGTTTTCAGGGCAAACTATTTTACTTGTATATTAAATGGGCAGCACGATGGCTCAGCGGTTAGAACTGTTGCCTCACAACAAGAAGTTTCTGGGTTCAATCCCAGAATTACATCTAGGGTCTTTCTGTATAGTGTTTCCATATTCTCGTGTTAGCGTGGACTTTCTCCGGGTACTCTGTTTTTTTCCCACAATCCTAAAACATGCATACTAGCAGGTCCAGGCCTCCCTTGCTAAAGAAATCTGCTCAGCAGGACTTGCCTGGTTAAATAAAGGTAAATAAATACTGAATGTTACAGAAAGCATCTGCGACCTCTTAGAGGATTTCTTATTATAGTAGATGTGAAAATCCTGTTTTCAAAGCAGTTGAATTACCTTCAGGTATCTGGTGGAGGTCACTGTGGGGACACACTGCAGCGTCCTGGTGTTGCAGCAGCCTGAACATCGCTGCACCTCCACACACGACGGCCACAGCAGGAAGTTGGCATTGCGGCGATCCAGCATGGATCTTGTCACTTCCATTACCTCTGTTCGAGTTTTACAGGCTGCCTGCTGAGCTGTCTGTGCTTCAGCTTTTAAGAAACAGAAAGAAGACTGACATAAGTAATGAGACAGAGATGAGAAAGGTTGGGTAATGAAGTGAAGAATAGACTTAACCTACCAAGACTTCTGACGTATCGGGCATGGGCCGGGTTTGGAAGAGTATCATGCTCATCCTCTTCATCTTCTAAAGGAGAGGTGAAAAAAGTTTAGATTAAAGGGATAAGTCAGAACTATTCATCTCAATCAAGGCAACATTTAAACACTACTTTATTAAGCAGGAAATATGTGTAAAACGTGTGAGGCCATTCAGGAACTTTTCAGCCAGGCTCATTGTTCACTGCACAAAGGAAGCCATTTTTTTTAACCTCTCTAAAACAATTAAGCTATTTTCTTCCACAATTTGTCTCGTGGGTGTCAAGAATACAGCTGAAGAGAGATAAGAGATGTTAAATATAGCTCATACATGTGCACATACATACCCTCATTTCATGCTTTAGCCTCTTTGTCCTAATTATATCTTCAGTAAAGACAGCTTTGTATAAAAAAAAATGTGTTGGTTGTTTGTTAGCTTTAATTAGATGCTTAAGAAAACGGTTCCATGTTGTTCTTGGAGGCAACTTTGAATGTTATCTGTGCATTTATCTGCATTTAAACATTTTATAATCCATTTAATCCTGCACCTTGTTCTGTCCGGACTAACAAAAGACTTACTACCAAAATGGTGAATAAACACAAGAGATGTATGCATTATATAATTAAAAAAAAAAACATGATGGGGACATTTCAATTGGTCCAGTCAATAGAAAATATGCAACAACAGAAAACGAGTTTAAAAAAAAATTGTAGAATTTAAAAACGTAAAAAAGTACTAGAAAGGTTGCATTTTCTGCATGAACGCTGAGTGTTGAATGACTTTACCGAAGGAGCCGAAACCGAGTTGTTAATTTTAAAAGAAGCAGAACACTAATTAAAAGCTGAAAAGAGCAAAACAAAAGCAAGATGCCGAATGCAACTATACGATGCAAAAAGCCAGCTAAAAGTCACATAAGGCTTAAAAACTAAATAAAAACTTAAGAAGACAAAAGTATTCTGAAGTAGATTTTAAAGAAAAAATATGTTTTGAACATATGTTTTGAAATTGAACAAATGTTAATGTATTTCCATTGGGGAAATGTTTTGTAAATAAAGTAAAATGTGGTGGTACGGTGGCGCAGTTGGTAGTGCTGTCGCCTTTCGGACAGGAACCTTATTGGGTGGAGTTTGCATGTTCTCTCCGTGCATGTGTGGGTTTTCTCTGGGTTCTCCAGTTTCCTCCGACAGACCAAAAACATTCATGCAAGGTAATTGTAAATTGTTCCTAGGTGAGTGAGAGTGGCCCTATGATGGACTTGGACCTGTCCAGGCTGTACCTCGCCTCTCGCACAGTGACTGATGGATATGGGCACCAGTGACCCCCCACCCCACCCTGCACCCGGAAAGAAAAAGGTAAAGATAAAGGATGGATAGAAACTAAAATGTTGTTTATTTAAAGTACCAACGTTACAAAAAACAGAAATTATAGCACCCATCCCCTGAATGAGATGTTTTGATATATAACTTGGCTAAAAATAAAAGCACAAAGTATTAAGAAATAGTTAGATAGCAAAACGTATAAGGAAAAAATAAAATTACAAAAACTTGAAAACAATAATGTGAGTATGCAAAAACCAAAAGTGAAGACTCATTAGCAGTGAATGATGAGGTTTTGAAACCGCTCAGTTATCAAGAAACATAAATTCTCATGATGACGCTGTTGCAATGCTGCAACGTGACACTGACATACTCTCAAAGTTACAGGAAACATTCTGTTTATTTTTTCACCTCTCATGAACCACGAGTGCAAGATTACAGACATAGTTAAGTTTATTACCTGCTAGCAAGTAATGTTTGCTAATTCACTTAAAAACATGCAGCCAAATTTAATTGTTTGGAGGAAAAATGTATATGTGTATGCAACAAAGTTCGATCAGGTCATCTGGACAGTTTCTTTTTTTGTTGAGACGTTTCGTCCTTCATCCGAAGGACTTCATCAGTCCAAAGAGCCACAAAAAACTCAGTCCCACAAGCAGCACACTCGCATAGTGGACCAACCAGTTTGCTAGTGAAAAGATGGTTTCTGGGGCCTACCCTCTCCCCCGTCGACTCCTCTGAGGCAACCTGACGAAGTCCTTTGGATGAAGGACGAAATGTCTCAAAAGAAAATAACAAAACCGTCCAGATAGCCTGACTGAACTTTGTTGGATTTTGTACCTGGATTATTGAGCATGAACTTTGACGTTTTGAACCACTATGGCTATGGCTGCCTCAGAGGAGTCGACGGGAAGAGGGTGGACCCCAGAAACCATCATTTCACCATCAAACTGGTTGGCCCACCAAGTGAGTGTGCTGCTTGTGAGACTGAGTTTGTTGTGGCTCATCGGACTGATGAAGTCCTTTGGATGGACAAAACGTCTAAAAGCATATATATATATTTTTAAATCCAGGTGACCTGACTGAACTTTGTTGGATTGTTTTAACCTGGATTACTGAGCATGAACTTTGATAAATACATGTATGATTAAAATTAAATTTACAGATGACCACAGTTATTGCACATGCACAGTGTGCACATTCAACAAGTCACTGAATTGTACAACAATAATTAAAAAAAGATAAATAGATTTTTTTTTTTTAAGTTTCCTCATTTGAAATGAATGCTTAAACTGCAAAAACTCAAGAACTGAGTCATTTTGAGCCACTTCTGTTTTCCAGCATCTGATTGTTCTGTTGTTATTTTAGCCTCTTATTTATGCATTATGGAGTGATCAAAGGCCCGTCTATTAATCTATGTATGTGTGACTTGGACCCTCTCAGGTATGGAAGACTGTGATACATTTTTTTAGTGTCCTGCTGATGTGTGTGTGAACAAGTTTGTTTGGACTCTGCTGGGGTTGAGGAAGCGTGCTGAGGGCTGGTCTCCTTCTGCCACATAAATACACATCCATAATTCAAACCTTTGGAGAAATCCAGAGCAGGAGAACAATGCAGTGACCTTGTGCTGGAAGAACCCACCCCTCCTCCCTGCTTCACTCTGTCTAAACCACAAGGTTACTGCTTCTCTCTCTCTCTCCCTCATCAGGCTGTTATCTAAGTGTCTGATTAAACTCATCGCTTGGCAGGTACACTCATTCTGCATTCCTCTGACTTCAGGGCTCTGCACATACATGTTTACCTCCTCCAAGTCAGATTTACTGTGTGTGTGTGTGTATGTGTATGTGTTTGTGTGTGTGTGTGGGAGGGGGTGACTGCTGGTCATTAGTACCATTTGCGTTTGACTCTTGTTGCAGCAGCAGCAGCTCCAGGTCTTCTACTGAGGAGATGGGAGAGTCTCTTAGTAGATCAATCAGGGACGGAGGGAGCGGATCGCCCTGTGGAGACACACACAGACAGTTGCAATGTGGTTTTGCCTTGTACGAAAATAACTTTTTTTCAGTGTAGTGAGCAACATCTTTGTGTGAACAATTAAAAAGGTTCCAGTTTAAAGGTTGGGTTCAACGAAATTTGCACCTCTAGTTTAAATGCGTCTACGTCACATCCTTTCCCCCGTATCATTGAGGTTGTAGATTCAGGTGTTTAATCATAATTAACATTGTTCATTTATATTCATGACACATAATAAAATTCTCATCTTAGCTCTTTCTGTCCAAGTCGGTGTAACACAATCAAACTGTGGTGTCGTCAGTTCGATCAGGTGTCACTAGATCTCACTTTGTTCTCTTTTTTTGTACAAACATGAGTCCTGTGGAACGCTATAGGATGCTGCTGTCTATATCCACCTACAGGAATGCTATAGATGGATAAAAACGGTAAATGGACTGTAATATAGCACCTTTCTATCTAATCAAGATACTCAAAGTGCTTTACACTACAATCTGTACCCTCATTTACTCATTCATACATCACTCTACTAGATCTCTACAAAGAATAATCAGAGCTTTATCACATTCATACACCGATGGGACACACATCGGAGGTAATGAGGGATTCAGTGTCTTGCCCAGGGACACTTCAGCATGTGACTGCTGGTGGAATCGAACTTGCAACTTTTGTATTGGAGGGCGTCTGCTCTAACCACTCAGCCACAGCTGCCCACAGCTGGATATAGACGCCAGCTCCCCTGTGACTCGGAAAAGAAAAAATCAGTAAAGAAAATGGATGGATGGATGGATGGATGGATGGATGGATGGATGGATGGATG